ATGACAGTTTTATGAGTCATCTCATCAAACAATCTTCTAGCAGAGGTCATGTCACCAGATTTAACAAAACCATCCATCATTGCGTTATATATCACAACATCTTTAACTTGAGGCATCTGATCAAATAGCTTACTCGCCAAATCCAGCTCCCCAAACCTAACATACCCACAGATTAGAGCAGTCCAAGAAACCTCACTTCTCTGAGGCATTTCATCGAACACATTCCTCGCACATCCCATCTTCCCAAATTTAGCATACATATCAACAACTCCAGTCGAAACATACATATCTGCACAAAACCCAGATCTCCAAATCTGGCTATGCAACTGCAGACCTTGGTAAACACACATACTCAAAGTACAGGACTTTGTCATAGTCGTGAAAGTAAAATTGTCAGGAGCAAGACAAGTCTCTTTCCTAAGATCTCTGTAAAAAGCAAACGAATCATTATAATGACGAGTTTCGAGATAGGCCTTGATCATAGAGTTACAGAGGAAACTGTCTTCTCTGTGAGGCCTTTGATCGAACAACTTACGTGCATAACCAATTCCAACAGCCGATGCAGAAATAACCAAGAACTTGGTGAAGATTTGAACGTTGGTCTCAATGGCGTGACGGAGCATAAAAGCATGAATCTGAAGAAGAGAGAATCTGCCATGTCGCTGACATTGTTGGAGAAGATTAAAGCATTTTCTCTCAGTCGATAACCATAGCTGTTGAGTCTCTCGCTCGTATGACATCATCTTGTTGCAACTAACTTTTTGTAATAATTCATATTTTAGTTAAATCTATTCTTGGTTATTGTTATCCGAACCGGTAATTAATTTCGGTTTGGTTTTGGTTTAATGAACATGCTAAGAAAACAGAGCAAAATACTATCTTGCAGCATGCTGGTGTTCTTTATATTATTAAGAACTTACAAAACCAATTCATTATTCATCAAACAAAAGTAAAAACAAAGCATTAATGGAAAATAAAACAGATTTGAGAACAACTTAGGTTGAAATCTCTCACATGGAATAATTTCTACCAAGAAATGAAGAGAAAGACATTGTAATAGTTTAATAAGGAGAACCAAGTTTGGAGTTTCAAAAGATAGAGAGTGAAATGAATGTTTTACAGTGAAGAAGTTATTAAAAATAAAAAATAAAAAAAAAATAATAATAAATAAATTAAAAAAAAAAAAAAAAAAATTGGTTTCATAGGCTGCCCAAAAAAACACAACGGTCATCAATGCCAAGTAAGTTCCGAGGGTTACACCGGTAGAGTTTCCAACAATATGGTGTTGGAGAAGGCTTGACCCTGTCCTTGGATATCGTCATTATAGTGCCTTCCAAGAACAGAGGAATTTATTTAGCAACAACAACAACATTAGAGTAGCAACAACAGCAACATGTGACCACTTAAATCATGAAAAGGTTATGTAGTGACTAATTATCGTTAAGGATTGCTATTACAGGAACCATGAAAGGAGGAAAATTCAAATTTCCAAAAGACACATAGAAGCACGAAACCCATCTGTTACACGAGAAACAAAAAGTTTAATATGGTTCAATTAGTTTACACAAAATTTAAATATTTAACACTTATCAAAAAAGAAAAAAAAATGTTAAATTTTTTGATTATCTGTAAACCATATTGAACCTAGAACACTTCTTAGGGGTTTGGATGATGTATCTATACACAATATTTAAAAATTTAACACTTATCAAAAAAAAAAAAAAACAACATTAAAAAATAACAAGTGTTAAAAATTTAACTATGTGTAAACCATATTAAACCTAGAACACCTCTTAGGGGTTTGGATGTTGTGTCTAATTAGTGTACACAAAATTTAAAAATTTAACACTTATAAAAAAAGAAAAAAAAATAAAACACTTAAAAAGAAGACAAGTGTTAAACATTTAATTTTATGTAAACCATATTGAACCTAGAACACCTCTTAGGGGTTTGGATGTTGTGTCCAACTAGTTTACACAAAAATTAAAAATTTAACACTTATCAAAAAAAAAAAAACAACATTAAAAAATAACAAGTGTTAAAAAATTTAACTATGTGTAAACCATATTAAACCTAGAATACCTCTTAGGGGTTTGGATGTTGTGTCTAATTAGTGTACACAAAATTTAAAAATTTAACACTTATAAAAAAAGAAAAAAAAATAAAACACTTAAAAAGAAGACAAGTGTTAAACATTTAATTTTATGTAAACCATATTGAACCTAGAACACCTCTTAGGGGTTTGGATGTTGTGTCCAACTAGTTTACACAAAAATTAAAAATTTAACACTTATCAAAAAAAAAAAAAAACAACATTAAAAAATAACAAGTGTTAAAAATTTAACTATGTGTAAACCATATTAAACCTAGAACACCTCTTAGGGATTTGGATGTTGTGTCTAATAAGTGTACACAAAATTTAAAAATTTAACACTTATAATAAAAGAAAAAAAAATAAAACACTTAAAAAAAAGACAAGTGTTAAACATTTAATTTTATGTAAACCATATTGAACCTAGAACACCTCTTAGGGGTTTGGATGTTGTGTCCAACTAGTTTACACAAAAATTAAAAATTTAACATTTATAAAAATAATTAAAAACAAAAATAGATTTGAAAAACGTTTAAAACCTCTAAAATGTAAGAATAAAACGCAAAAAAATGAACCCGTAAAAAGACAAAAAAACAAGCATGAGAAATCATTTTGTTCTTTTGGGCAATTAAGCCGACAGTCGGGCCTTCGTAGAAAGCCCATTACTGTAGTTTAATTTTGAATGCAAATGGATACTTTTATTTATAGGGGTCAAAAGTTGGTAAGTGTTTGTTTTTTTTCCGATGTGGGACTCAATTTTTTATTGGGCTTTAATGTTATGGCGGCCCAAACGTAAGCCGTATGTATTTCAGAAACTCAAGAGTTATTAAAAAGATCGGACGGGTCAAAATTAAAAGCGTTTATTATTTATTTATTTTTCCAGAATTGTCTTGTCTCCCTCCAAAAAAAAAAAGAGAGTCCTCCTCATTACCGCATTAATGGGCCGACATACATAACAATTAAATAATTAGGGTTAGCATCAATATATAGGCTATGGGCCTCAAATTAAAATCTATGTTTTCATATTTAATTTATTTATTGAGGGCCACAAAGAAACGACGACGTTCGAGCGTTTCATAAACCCTAAGAGATTTTCTTTAGTAGTAGTCATCTTCTTCTTCTCTTTAGACCTCTTTTTTCTTCGGGGGCTCTAAAGCGAAACCCTTTTGCTTGAAATCGTTCTCGCAAATTAGAAGAATCACCTACAGGTTTACTTCGTAATCTCAAATTGCTTCTCTTTTCATTCCATTCTCCTAAAACTATCTCCTTCGTTTGGATTTTTCGTTATGATTTGTTGAAATCTAGGTTTTTTGTATGTTGAAATTTGCATGATATAGTTAGTATTCTTGAATATCTATTCACTGAAACCGTGAAATTAGATAAAAATTGAAACTTTGTCTTTCTGCTTCTTAGTTCTTGTTATAAGTAAGCGACTTTATTTCTGGGAAAGTATCCTCTTTTTTTTTGTTTATTTGTTGTCAATTTTGTGGTTTTTGTTTCAGTTAAATATGTCTTAACTTTGCAACAGTCTCTTGTAGGGTTTTCCAAGACGGGGCAAAATGAGATTGGTCAAGTGTTGGTTTTGCTCTTCCACAATATATCCTGGTCATGGTATTCAGTTTGTCCGCAACGATGCCAAGGTAATTAATTTGGGATAAATCCTTATCAAGCTGCTTTAATTCACAAGACATAGTTTGCTTGAGATTCATATTACATACTACTCTTTGATTCTATATATGTGAATGTCTCCTTGCTCGTATCATGCTAGGTTCTCTAGCTCCAATTTTGATTTATGTCGTTATTTGTATGGTTCTTTAAGCTAAAAATGACCAGTTTTGTCTATTCTTACGATTTGATTAGTGTTTCAAAACTTAAGGCGTCTTTGGCTAGGGTTTTAGTACATAAGAGGTCTACAAATGTTCTGAGCATAAATGTCAATCAAACACCTCATTGTTTGTTTGTCTTGTTATCGGTTACCTTTGTTTCCTTTGCAGATTTTCCGGTTCTGTAGGTCGAAATGTCACAAGAACTTCAAGATGAAGAGAAACCCGCGTAAAGTGAAATGGACTAAAGCATTCAGAGCTGCACACGGGAAGGACATGACTAAGGTACATGTTAATTTGAGCAAAAGTTTTCTTTGTTTCCTTGGGGTTATCTAGTTGATGCTCACCCTCCTACTTGTCTTTCTTTGTTTCCTTTACCCTAAAAGGATAAAACATTTGAGTTTGAGAAGAAGAGAAACAGACCTGAGAGATACGACAGGAACGTAACAGAGAATACACTCAAGGCCATTAAGAAGATTGATAAGATCAGAAGCGCAAGGGAAGCCAAACATATCGAAAATAGGTATACCTTCCTTCTTCTTCTTCTTCTTCTTCTAGTCTCCTGCAAATCCTGAGAAGCTGTTTTTGATTATGATTGTTTTGTTTTGTTTTTTGTATGGGACTTAGGTTGAAGCCAAACAAACAGAAGAAACTCCTTGACGATAAAAAAGAACACGATCAGCACATTCATCTTGTCCAGGCTCCCGGGTCAGTTACAGGGAAGATCAAAGTTGATGTTTCCGAAAAGAAGTCTGTTCAAAACGAAGCCATGGAAGAGTGATTCTGTGGGAACATTATGATCCTTTTAAAAGCCTCTCACTTACTCTGAAGCTGGTGTCATCTTAAAGAAAAAAGCCTTCTTTAGTTTCTCTTTCCATTTGTTTTTGGAGGTCTTTAAAAAAAAAGTTTTGGTTTTTGTACTGATAAAATGACTTTAAGTTGCTTTCATTTTGCAATGTATTATTATTATTATTATTACTTTCTGATAGAAAACAAACAGAGTTAAGAGTAATATTATGTCTTTAACTTCTTCGGTGGTGTTATGGTTGTTTTCGTTTTATATAAAGCTAAACTATATATCTCAAAATATAAGACATTCATGCCATTTCATATAATTTTATTCATCATGTTCACATAGAGAAAGAGACATTTATATCATGCAAATGTTTAGGAGACATCCATAGCATCAATTATCTCAAAGTGCATTTGCAAATCAGCAAGTCTATCAGAAAAATAGAACCTTTCACAAACCTGTAGTTTCCCACCGGAATTTTCAGTTTCAGCTTCGAGCAAACGAACCAACTCATCTTTTTCCTTGCGAATCCAGCCTCGCTGCTCATCACACCACTGCCTAGGAGTTCCATGAATGACAATGCGTAGTAGCGAGTCTGTTCTTCGTGCGAGGCGTTGAGAGATTCTCTGCACGACATTGTGATCCGTAATGTAGGCACCAGAAGAGTTCAGTCCTACATCGATATAATGAACTTCAGAAATGCTGTTGAGGAAGCTTTCTTTGGAGGCTGGAATGATCTGAATCTTTTCATGCTGGCTCGTAGGTTCTTCTACCGTTGCAGATGTAGTTTCCGCAAAGTTTGTATCCAAGGAACTGATCTCACTCATGAGCTGGTTAATCACAACTCCACCTTTGCTAAATCCAAGAACAATAGTTCTGGGACAGTGATGAACTGATGCAATCTGGTTTATCAAACACACTTCTTTGCCTTCCTTTAAAATGAGGTTCTTTGACGCCTGGAAGCAACTAGATAAGAGGGAGACAACTGATGAAGAAGCTGGGAAGCCAAGTGGGGAATAAGATTTTGGTGCTCCCTTGTGATTCACTGATGGAACAAAGTCTTTGTAGATAGCAAATGGTCCACTAAAAAGAGAAGCTTCAACAACCCAAGCATTAACAGAGTTGCCAAATTTAGAAACAATGATTTCAGCTACTTTCTGCAAATCATATAGCCTCTCAATCACATGATTCCCAGTGTCTTGAACTTTGTCACCATGAAAGAATATTGCATTTGCAGAAGGCACCTGCTGATCAAAAATGAAGTTTTTTTTTAATGAGCATAAAGCTAGGATTTTTATACTGGAAGTTAGGAATAGAGTGGCACTCACAGTTAGAGTTGTGGAAGAAGGAGAAGAAGAAGAAAGGCCAAGAGATGCTGCAACTCTGTAGTAGTTGCTAGTACTAGCATCCAACGGAATCTTCAAAACGCCGGACCATCGTTCCATGATCAAAATAAACTCTGAACTCAATTCTTTTCGAACAAAAAAAAAGGCAAGTTAATCGATTATAGATGTGACTTTGACAACATTCATGTGGGAAATTTGACGAACACCTGGTGTGCAAGCCAAGCACCAAAGGGTCAAAGGCTGCGCCAAAATTAGAGAAAAAACGAATATTATTGTGATCAATGCTCATTATAACGATAAGTGATTGAATGCGAAAAAATTCTTACTTTCTCGTAACAGAGAAGATTTCGAGAATTATCAAAGATTTTCACCTATGTCTACTTTTGACAAGATTCTATTTATGTATTTTACGGGTAGTTAATGGTATGTATAATTGTGCATTTCTATGCTCAAAATGATAGTTTAGAGTTGGTTAATAGGTAACACGTGTATTATTAAAGTAGAAGGGTTAAGATTGTTGAACTAACTTTACTAACAATCCTTGAATTTTCAAAATAATCTTAAAAAACACATTTAAGTTGAACTAACAAAAGCTCAAGCCAACCATAAAATACACCTACCAAAAACCATATAAGATATTGTACAAAAAGTCTTTTTGTAAGAGTCTCTATATAAACTCAATCACATATCTTTGAATTTCTCATCAACACAAAGCAACAATACAAGTGAAGCATTTAAGGAGGCTTTAACAATAATTAGAGATTCATTAACACACCCAAAATGGCATCATACAAGCTCTTTCTCATTGCTTTTCTAGTGAGTCTCTCTTCCTCCACCATGATCAACACTTGCTCGGCCTCACGTAAACTTCTTCAGCAACAGCCTCTTCCTCAAATTCCAAATCTGCCTATCCCGACAACGGGACTACCTCCATTGCCATCAACTTTGCCACAACCATCTCTACCAACTCTTCCCACAATGCCCACTGTAACGTCTCCATTTCCAATGCCATCAACTTTGCCACAACCAAACCTTCCCACAATTCCCACTGCAATGCCTCCAATGCCAACTTTGCCTTCATTTCCGACAATAATTTCTTCTCTTCCGACTAATCTCCCATCCATTCCATTCTTCTCTCCTCCGCCTTCTACAACTACATCGAGTCCTTGAATTATCACTTCATGTGATTGATGTATCTTCTTTTACTATACTATTATTTGAAGGAGTTGTTTCATTGTGGTGTGTTTTGGTTTGGTTTAATTACGCTCTATCAATATGTTGTATTTTGGAATGTTTGTCAGTTTGTGTGATAACTGTGATATCATTATAAATTAGTTTCACCAAGAGCAGAGGTTCACGTACGGAATGTAATGATGCATTTCATTCTAGAGAGTTTGTTTCTTTCATATATATCGGGTAGATGAAAATTGAGTAGTGATTGGGACTCACTAATCGAAGATATATATTCAAACGAAAGAGAAGAGATTAAGAACCAATCAAAATTTCCCATTGCCTTCATTTAACCAAATATTCCGGCAAAAAGGGACCAAACCAAGAAAGGGGATTACCCTTCTAGGAAAGTCTAGCATTCTCCAAGTTTGGCGCATATATTTAAAATCCGATAAGAAAAAAAATCCGAATTTATTTAGTTTTCTATAATCTCATTAAAATCACCCTTCATTTGCCAAGGCGAGTCTCAAGACTCAAGAGGTGCTAATGTGAGACAAATGTTCAACAAACGAGGAAAAAGAAAAAAGATTTCCACATGAATAAGAGTCTCAACATCAACTTCGGTGGTTTGAGTTTTCAAATTTTGCAAATGTTGGAAGAACTTGCAATTTCTAGCCTTAAGAATAAATGTAAAGAACAAGGCTTTGATATACTATACTGAATCAAGAGAGAGCTTGCAAAAAGGGAAACTATTTCTCAATTCTCATTAATATTGTTAATTTGGTTTATACTATATTAATCATTCAGTCTCTAAAAAGTATATTTATTATATATATGTTATATGTATTCTCACAAGTTTTGAGTCGCTGAAAAAAGAAGAAAGAAAAATAGTTATTTTTGAGTATAGACGTTTACAACTTATTACTATGAAAACGAATTTAGGAGAAATCAAATATTTATTTTCAATCACATTACATCCGATCAGGACAACCCATCAACATCGACTTCCACAGCATGTAATGACTTTGGTTCAAACGGAAATCGGAATAACCAAAGAAATGTCTTCAAGATAAGCCTATCCAACTTTCCTAAAATGTTTATGGGTACAAATGCTGACAATTCAAACCGCTCGATAATTCCAAAAAGACTAGCCGTGAGAAAACGATAATAAAACACACATGATGTATATCCCTGCATGATACATCCTATATTTGATTGTTTTTTCTTTCTTATTTGTTAATTGATTGCATTAAATATAAGACCATGTACATAGCTGATATAATGAGATTATCAAGAGCCTATTAATGATTTTTTAATAGATCAGAGTATCAAGTTGGGTCTGATTAGTATCATTGGAGTGATACTTCTGATACCCAGTATCAGGTGACGTGGCGGCAGCTGATTCGTTTGAAAAACTCGTTTTTCCCTGAAAATAGAAAAAAAATATATATATTCATATTTGGTAAAAATGGGGCCAAGGTAATTGACTCCAAGCGACTAAATTATTTTTATCATCATGTTTTTTAAAGTTTTTTTGAATTTTATGTTTATTTTGCATAAGTGTATTCTACAGTTTTTTTTATTGTAATACTCCCTCTGTTTCATAAAGAGTGTCATTCTAGAGTTTGATTCTTGTTTCACAAAGAGTGTCATTCTACATTTTCAATGTGATTTTTACACAAAATTTCTTGATTTACCCTTAACTTAAAGCTATTTCTCATTGAATTTAAATCATTAATCACTTATTAAATAGGGGCATATATGTATAATTTAATGTTTTCTTAATTTGTGTGAAATGCGTCAAAATGACACTCTTTGTGAAACGGAGTAAGTATTACATTTTATAATCCTATGTTTTAATATATTTATTTTTGATTTTGCAAATAATTTTTTTTTTTATGATATTTAAACCAGTCTCACCAATGAAAACATATTTAGTAATAGTAAGAATATCATAAAACATCTCAAACAATAAACAAACATTATAAATAATACTAAAAAAATTTTAATGATACCAAATAGAATACATTCTACTATTCACATTGATTGTTACTATGAATCGAATTTAGAAGAAAAAAAAACAAACGTCCATATTTATTATTTTCCATCCCATCACATTACATATGATCATGATTATCAAACCCTCTTGAGTCTTGAGTCATCGATCGATATTTGATATTTCATAACGGCAGCAAACTCGATGGACAAATTTTTGCTTAATCTTAAAACTTTACTTAAAACTAATTATGTCCGATTACCAGAATAAGAACATTCTGATTGGTCCATTAATAGACTACCATCGAAGTAAAACTGATCCACCGTGAAATCCAACTCCGGTACAACCAAAATAGACTCGCCGTCATCCACGTGGCTTTCCCTCTTCTGTTCCGACGTTAACTGATCGGAGACTGACGGTTCCGGCGAACGACGGCGAGGCCTAATCCGAACCGGCTCATACTTACAAGAACCAATCAAATGCGGAAAATTCAGCTTAGCTTTCGATCCTCTAAGCTGAAACGCCGCTCGGTCGTAAGCAACCGCCGCGTCCTCCGGCGTCTCATAAGTCCCGAGCCAAACCCTAGCTCCGTTCTTCTTCGGATCCCTAATCTCCGCCGCGAATTTCCCCCACGGCCTCCTCCTCACTCCTCTGTACTGCATCCCCTTCTGCCTCGGCGCGTGCGAGCCACTCGCCGTCGCTGGAGGCTTCTCTTCTCCTCGAACGGAAACTTCCTCCGCCGGAGAGGTAACGGGAGGAACGGAGGGTGTCCATCCGGAGCTAACTGCGTCACGGAGAGTGTTGTAAATAGCCATGTCTTGAGAATCGTCGACACTTAACGGCAAATCACTCCAGTTATCGTTTAAGATAACGTTGCTGAAACTCGGGTTACGGAAGAACATCCGTGAGTTAACGCCGTTATTAACGGAATCAGATGAGCTTAACGAGTCGCTGTACTCAAAACCTGACATTAGTTAAATGGATTTTTGAATGCTTCTGAGTCGAAGAGAGGGTTTTTGGTGGATGCTTCTGAATAGAAGAGAAAGTTTTGATGAGAGAGTGGATTTTAGAGAGTGATCAAAGATGTTTTTGTCTGGGAGACGAATGAAGTGGAGAAGTAAGTACTTGTGAAGGAGATTATAAAGGTATGGAATAATGTGAGAAGGTCCATGGAAGGTTCTTTGAGGTTTTGAAACGACGTCGTTGATTCGATGATAGTTGTTTGTTACGTTCTTAGAAGATTCGTTTTGTTCTTTCTTTTTTTTGCCTCGTTCTTAAAACAGAACAGTGACAAAAGTATTAGTTATTTATTTTTGTTTGAAGTCTTTGGTCTTTAAACAGGTATTAAAAAAGAACTGTCTAAACTCATATCTTTGGATGTAAATCAAAATCTGCAAAAAATGATAGTTTAATTCACTTGATCTTCTTTTGCCATTGGTTTATTAAAGTAATAACTTTGTCAATATTCAACATGGAAAGAATTTGAGAGAAGAGCTAATATATTTGCAACGTGCAGCAACACAACAGTGTGGAAGTCAAGAAAGCTATGGAAATAACAAGATTCGTCACGCGTTTAACAAAGTTTATTACTACATAATACAATTTTTTCCGTATGGGGATTGAAATATATGTAGTTAGTTTACTACCAATAAACAAAACATTAGATTTATTCTTCGTTTTTTGTCAGGGATATAGTATAAGCTCTCCAAATTAAAACCATTATTAATCAACTACCATTAAAAATATATATAAATAACAGGAACGACACAATTTTCACGTGCTGAATGCTATAAAATATTAATAAGTCTGACGTCGAAAGGTAAAGTCGACCCACTGTGACTGTCAAAGACACGTTTTATTAATTGCGACTTTCGTTTTGTTCTCTGAATCGTCCATTTCTTCGTTGCAACATCATCTCTACACAGACCAATGAAAATGTTTAAATAATTATATATAGTATTTTTAGTTATCCGAATATAAAAACGTTAGTTCTCTTGTTTACGTGGGAAAGATGACATGAGGTTCCACTAAGTTAGATTGGTTTTGATACTGGGCCAAGAAGGCACAAATAAGAAATACCTTATGGGAAGCCCGTTAAAGTCGGCTTAATCAAAATCAAGTGGAGTAGTAATGTGACCAACGTCCAACGCAACGATTTGGACATTGGACTCTTATCATAAGACAACAATCCACATGGCTGCTCCGGACACTAAACAAAAAAGCGTATTATATAGTATAACCTTTTTATCGTTTTACCTATATGATCAATGATTCGTTTACACACTTCGAGAACAAATTAACCACTTTAGAATTATCGGAAAGCATCAAGAGCATGATCTATTCGAAGCTCTAAAATCTAAAAATGTTGAATATTCGTAATGAAAAGATTACAACAAGAAGATAATACAAAAAGTTGTGCTTTTTTAAAGGAAAAAGAAAAAAAAATTCAGTTGTGTCATTTTCGTGGGTATATATATTGACGTCTCCACATACTTCATATCAATTGTTATCCAACTTTGTTTTTTCCTTGTATATTTCACATTGTTTGAATTCAATATTCGTAACCACTTTATGAATCTTTGATAATTGGTGATCTATTGAACACAACCAAGGTGAACTATGATTAATAGTTTGCTTAGTCAAGTTAATTTTACAAAATAATACTAAATAAGTGGTACAAAAGTAGGATAAATTTCTGGAAGCAATCAAGCATCCATTAAAACTTAAAAGAGAAAAAGAATAAGATGCTCGTCCAGGGAGCATCCAAGCTCACTTTAGAAAAAGGTAGAACAATTTCTAAATATACTAAACTATCGTCTCCGATTTGTAATATTCTTTTTGGCCAAGGATTAATGATTTCTCTAAGAATTTATAGTATTTCCCTTCTCGAATTTGTAATAATTACGTTTTTAATCCACTATCTTACCTAAACCACACTAAACGACAAAGAAACATCCTCTAATGTACATGTTTTTCTTGCCATTAATTACATCGACATCAATCGACGCCACCATCTTAAACATTCATATGTATTTTCAAATATAAACTCTTTTATATACTATCTTTCATTAAAATCTACTGGTCAATTTCGTATACTGCATTTAACAATAACTTAGTGGGAAATCGACTTTGTTGTATGCTAAAGAAAAATAACAAAAAAATCAAGGTTAATGACAGTCACTGACTCGTTATCAGTATACACTACTCACTGTGGAAAATAAAAAATAAAGTAGAAAAAGGAAACTTTATATATTAAAAATTATACACAGTCAAAAAAGAGTCCGATCAAGTGGAAACAGCTAAGAACTTTCTCTCCCATTCCTTTTGTGTGTGTGATTTTCTCTCTATTCACAAAATGCAGAACCTAACGGAGGTGACTCCACGCGCCGCCGATCGGTAACCGCCGTTTTAAGTACTCTCAGTCGAGATAATCATGGGATGTGCAGCGTCGAAGCTCGATAACGAAGACACTGTTCGGCGATGCAAAGATCGCCGCCGTCTCATGTCGGAATCTCTCAACGCACGACATCACCTTGCTGCAGCTCACGCTGATTACTGTAGATCGCTTCGTCTCACTGGATCTGCTCTTTCTTCTTTCGCCGCCGGTGAGCCTCTAGCTGTATCAGATCAGACTCCGGCCGTTTTTCTTCATACTACTCCGCCGCCGTCTCAACACTCATCCGCAAAATTTGTACCTCCTTCACCTGCTCCTTCTTCAGTATATACTCCGCCGCCGGCTCCTCCTTCACGGTCTCCTTCCGTTGCTAGCTCAAAACTACCTCCAGTTCTTTCAGCTTCATCTAATCGGCGCCGGAAACAACAACAACAACAACAACCTAAGTTGCCTCATATTCTCTCGAGTCCTTCGTCTAGTGAGAGATCGAATTTCATGCCGAGTTTCTTCCCTACTGCTCACCAGAACTCTACTTACTCGGCGACTCCTTCTCAAGCTTCTTCCGTTTGGAATTGGGAGAACTTTTACCCTCCTTCACCTCCTGATTCCGAATTCTTCAACCGGAAATCTCAAGAGAGGAAACAACAGAACCGCTATGGCGATCTGGCCGACGGCGAGGATACCGAAACAGAGAGATCGGAGCATGAATTTTTCCATATGAAGAAGGAGAAGCAGTTCGAGTCTATGAATAGTGCTGCGGTGGAGGAGGAAGTGGAGACAGAGAGAGAGGAAGTGCAGTGTAGCGAATGGGAGGATCACGATCATTACAGTACGACGAGCTCATCCGACGCTGCGGAGGAGGAGGAGGAAGAAGAGGATAGAGAGTCAATATCTGAGATCGGGACGCGTTCTGACTTTGGATCTTCCGTGAGGAGTAGTTCAATGAGACGCCAGTATCACCAGCAGCAGCAGCAGCCCCAAGCAATGCCGCAGGAGTATGGAGGTGTTGCGCAGGAGAAGTATCGGAAAGCAGATGACGCGACGTCTTCCGGCAGCTACCGAGGCGGAGGAGAGATGGTGGTGAGGCACAGAGATTTGAAGGAGATTGTTGATGCGATTAAGGAGAATTTCGACAAGGCGGCTTCAGCTGGCGATCAAGTCTCTCAGATGCTCCATCTTGGCAGGGCTCAGCTCGATCGCAGTTTCAGCCAATTGAAGAGTGAGTTTGATTTATCTCTCGCCTGATTACTTTGAATTAGCTCAATTGCGAATGCAATTTGGAAGTTAGTTTGAACTTGCATTGTGAATTTTGCGTTGTTTAGAGACGGTGATTCATTCGAGTAGTGTATTGAGTAACCTGAGCTCAACTTGGACTTCCAAGCCGCCATTGGAAGTCAAGTACAGGCTTGACACAACCGCATTGGACCAACCGGGCGGCCCCAAGAGCCTTTCTTCCAGTCTAGACCGCCTCTTGGCATGGGAAAAGAAACTCTACGAGGAAGTCAAGGTGTTTCTGCTGTTTTATTCAATCAGTTTTTGTCATTTCTGATAGGTTTTGGTTTCACTAATCATTGGAGATACTAATGAACTTTCAGGCTAGAGAAGGGTTGAAGATTGAACATGAAAAGAAGTTGTCAAAGCTTCAAAGCCAAGAGTACAAAGGAGAGAATGAGATTAAGCTAGACAAGACAAAGGCCTCTATCACGAGGTTACAATCTCTTATTATTGTTACTTCCCAGGCCGTCAGCACAACATCTACTGCAATTATCCGCCTTCGAGATACTGATCTTGTTCCGCAGCTCGTTGAACTCTGTCATGGGTAAGTTGGCCTTGTTTGATTTTATCTAATTGTGTGTCAGTGATTATACATTATTGAATGTGCTGTTAGTTGCACTCCTATCAGCAGCTTGCATTGACCTGTCTGTCTCAAAATTTATTCGTAGAGTCCGTATATATATTTCCACCTACTTTCACATCTATAATAGAATCGTGTGGACTCATCAAGTAGGTGAACATTTAATGAAAAATTGCTAGCTGGAGCAATCAGTTATTTCTGAAGCCATTCTTTAGAGCTGTGGATTCCCTGTTGGCTACTTCTTAAAGTGATTCTCTTACATATTGTAGAATTTAGGGACTTTGTAGCTTATCTTGACCAACTAACAACTACTAAGTAAGCTGCTGAATTGGTGGTCATGTCTTTATATCTACAGCTAAAGCTTTGGCTCATAACATCTTTGCCTAAGTTACAGGCTGAGTGTTATGATTAGGCTAGCCAATATCTAGTTCAGTGGCAATGAAGAACTAATTTTTGGTATTCGTCTTGTTTGATAGAGGTTAGAGACTTAAGAGATAATATCGCCCCCAATGTAAGTGGCATGGTGGTTTGGATTGTAACCTGCATTTTAAAGGTCCCCCACCCAAGTTCAGTAGTTGTAGTGACACCAAAGAAAATGAGAGATCAAAATACCTTTTTTGACAAATTTATGGGAAGAGTCTAAGACCATGCTATAATAATTGCTTGATTTCATCAGCTATGCAGTATTGGTACTTTCTTTGAACACCAGAGAATTACTCGCTAATCTCTGATATTTTCTTTTGCAGCTTCATGTACATGTGGAAATCAATGCATCAATTCCATGAAATTCAGAACAATATCGTACAGCAAGTTCAGGGGCTCATTAACAGGTCAGGCAAAGGGGAATCAACATCTGAACTACACCGACAAGCAACACGGGACTTGGAAACCGCTGTGTCTTTATGGCACTCCAGTTTCTGTCGGCTGATTAAATTCCAACGAGACTTCATACATTCGGTTCAAGCCTGGTTCAAGCTAACTCTTCTTCCAGTTTGCCAAGACGACAATCCCAGTCACAAAGAGCCAGTAGACGCCTACGCATTTTGTGATGAGTGGAAGCTTACTCTAGACAGAGTCCCGGACACAGTGGCTTCAGAAGCAATCAAAAGCTTCATCAACGTTGTTCATGTGATATCCGCGAAACAATCCGAGGAGCTAAAGATAAAGAAACGAACCGAATCAGCATCAAAGGAGCTTGAGAAGAAAGCTTCATCGCTTAGAAACATCGAAAGGAAATACTATCAGTCATACTCCACGGTCGGGTTTGGTCTCCCAGATACAGGACCAGACAACGGACACATTTTAGATGCTCGGGACCCACTCACGGAGAAAAAGTTAGAGCTAGGAGCATGCCAGAGAAGAGTGGAGGAAGAACTGCTGAAGCATTCAAAGGCAATAGAAGTAACAAGAGCCATGACTCTGAATAACTTGCAGACAGGTTTGCCCGGTGTGTTCCAAGCTTTAACGAGTTTCTCTGCTCTGTTCACGGAGTCCTTACAAACGGTATGCACTCGCTCATACTCCATCAAATAGCACACTAAATTAAATACGTTTACTATACTATATAGTTGGAAAATACAAGATTATATAGTTACAATTTTCCTATCTTTATTTCTGCTTATTTCGGGCTTGGTTGTTTGATATAGTTGCTTGGATATTGCTTATTTCTGAAAAGAAAATGTATATACGTGGACTCCACGTCGTGGAGTCTCTAGGACTTGGCCTTTGATTTCTGGTTATGAAGGATTTTTGTTCATGTAGTTCCCAGCTACATGTTCTAATGAAATGAATAAAGACCAATCTCATGCTTGTTCGTTAATCGTATGTACAAGTGATAGAAGGTGATGATTACAATCTAGGACGTGGCCTCGAACTGTCTTTTTTTGGCATGAAATTGGTCGGGTAGTATTTATGTAAATGTCTATAGTGGGTCCGTTTTCATCGGATTCCCTGAGAGATAGAGTTAGGATCTGACAAGTGATCATTTCTCTCTTCTTTGTCTGAAGCACATGGATGGGGTTCTTCTTGGTATAGACTAAGGTTAACAAAAACAAGCATGGTTTATCTTTTAAATCATAGCCGATTCTCATTTTGTGATCTATAATATATTGGAAATGCTGATGTTGAGATCAAGCAAATAATGCCGGCTCTTTTAAACAAAACAACACACAAATGCCAAAATCCGTTCAGTTTTGGGATTAGAATATACAGAAAATATTGGATCATGGAGTCGTTTTAGATAATGTTAACTTTTGGGACCACAAAAATGTTCATATAGATGTACCCAAAACATAGCAGTGACTGAGACACTACGATCTATTAGTTACTATGTGTAGAGAAAGGATTCCGACAAACCTAACAGTACTAGTTACTATGTGTAGAGAAAGGATTCCGACAAACCTAACAGTACTAGTACCAAAGGAGATTTTCTTAATTAATTTCAGACTTGGGGCTTCCCATGTCCTTACAAAAGGGTTGGTTCCATGGAAGAAAATATAATCTCCAATACCAAAAAAAAAAAGACCTAAGTTACTATGAGAAATGAACCCTCACTCTTGATCTATTAAAGCTTGAGGTGTGGTTACAATATATAGCTGACATAAAAGACTAAAAATGGCTAATAAGGAACCAAAACACAAACTCTTGGAAGCTTTAGAAAAACTCAAAGTCTAGAAATTTACCACCAGATTTCGTGTCTGCTGCTGCTGATACTGCTGGTGGTGCCATCATCCTTTTGCTATTACTACCAAACCCAACCGGATCAATCGGTCCATACTTTGGTGGCGGTTCGGTCTCCATCTGTCTCGGTACTTCAGGTGGAGTGCTACACCTTATCAGTGCCCAATTCACACCTTCAAAGAATGGATGCTGCTTTATCTCTGTTGCTCCTCTCTTTGTCCCTAACCTGTTCTTTGGATCTTTCACCAGTAAAGCCTGTATCAAGTCCCGGCCTGCATAGCTAGTTGCTGGTGACTCAGGGAATTTCAACTGTTCGCCGACTACATTGAACAGAGTAGCTCGATTTCCTGATCCTTTGAACGGGGTTTTCCCGTATAGGAGCTCGTGCACAAAGATACCAAAAGTCCACCAATCCACTGCGCTTCCGTGTCCTTCTCCTTTGATGATCTCTGGAGCTAAGTACTCGTGGGTTCCGACAAAGGACATGGACCGTGTGTTAGGTTCAGCCACTAGCTCTGGGAGAGAACCAGAGTGTGATTTGAAGAAATCCGCCTGGGTTTTACGGGTCTTGTTCTTTTTGTTTTTGTTAGGGAAAATGCTGCGCGGTAAGAAGCATGAGGGTTGGATGATGCAAGCTGATGTAGGCTCCATACAAGCGGGTTGAACGCAGAATGCGCCACGTCTAGATGGATCAGAGTCGAATGTTTTGATCAGTGTTGGAGAAACCGCGCATCTCAAGGAGAGATCAAAGTCTGAAAGCATTATGTGACCATCATCTCGAACCAGAACATTCTCAGGTTTCAAGTCTCTGTAAACAACACCAAGCATGTGGAGATACTCGAGCGCTAGCAACACCTCTGCAGCATAAAATCTGGCCAAAAAATAAATGTGAAACATCTAAAGAAAGTGAGATAACGGTGAATGAAATTTATGTTCAAGAACATTGAAACTAATAAAGAAAACATACCGAGCAGCATACTCCGAAAAATGCTTCCCGGGTTGACGTTGCCTTAGAGTGTGCAGATCCCCTCCAGGACAGTATTCCATGACCAAACACGAGAATCTGTCAGTCTCAAAATGAGTGTACAATGTCGGTAGAAACGGATGATCCAATAGTTGTAGAATATCCCTCTCGGTCTGAGCTCGATTCAACTTCTTCCGGTCCTCAAGAGACGCTTTATCCATGACTTTCACAGCAAAATGGCACCGAGTTCCACTTAATTCAGCCAGATAGACACTCCCAATATCACCACAACCTAATCGTTTCAGCAACTTGAAGTGGCTCATTCCCAAAATCCCATCTCGGGTTCGGATAGCCAAGATAGCATTCCACCAAGGATCATTCCCTTTGTGTGGCTTGTTAAGGCTTCCCGTGAAATTGCTCCAGCTGCTCTCTTCGCTTAGTCCGCTACTATCGCTTGCTCTGCTTGCACTGGTCTTGGTGCTTTCAAACGAATCCAAAACCATACTGATACTCCTGTCACAGTAGTTCTTGTCCATACTAAGCACAACATCGCTCCGCTGGGTAGTACTTGTTGCAGAAGAGCTATTAGCAATACTCATAGCCCTGGCAAAATTCATACTTTCAACACTACTGCTATGTGGGCTCACATTGGTACTGGGAGGCAAAGAAGCATCCCAAACACATTCTTTGTCTGAATCTGGCGGTAGCAGAGAGTTTTCAGTGTTCTGCGATGCACGAGCCACAGAGAACGGGGACAGCGATGTAGCAGGTTCCTCAACTATGCTTTCTGTGGGTGAGAGTACTCCCGGGCTTGACTTCTTCGGAGGCACACAGAGCGAAATGTCCTCGATAAAGGGTCCTTTAGTAGTAGACATGCTCTTCATCAAGCAAACCGAATCAGGTTTGCTTCTTTCGCTAATGGGCACATAAACAGTTGTTATAAGATCCATGTCGTCAGGCTCAGGAGGATGACTAACTCCACGGAAGGAGCTAGAACCAGCTTCCTCAGACATATCATTGCTTCCCTTACAAGTAACATCATCATCAGCAGCCCCAATTTCTTCAATCTCCAACAAAGGATACTTGGCCTTCATCGTTCTAACAGACGATACAACAGGCTCAAACTCCTGAAAATCATTCATGTTACCACCAAATTGAGTCATTATCGTATCTTCCCTATGCACATTCAGAACTTGGCTTAGTTCTCTCCCCAATGTCGTAGTTGGATTCACTGATCTTCCCGAGTTGTATCGAGCAGCTCGTTCCCTCAAAGTCTCCAAATGCATACCATTGGCATTGCCATTAAACGTATCTCTAGTTTCCAAGTCTAAGTATGGTCTTCTCGATAAGTGACCAGAGACAGGACCTTTACTAGGAAGTCTCTTGAGCTCAGCAACTCTTTCCATTTCCAGCATTCATGCAATCTTTAACACCAAACCCAAATCTCTCTTTCCCTACAAGAGCAAATAACGTCAACTAAACCAATCTCGGACCTCAATTAACACAAGCTCACTAGAAAGATACAAACAAAACCCACCAACAATTTCGGGACCATATTCAGAAATCTTGTCGGCAAATATATAATTAAACACAGAACAATAGTAACACGTGATTTGGAAATAAACCTCAGGACTAATTCTCATTTATGGTTTCAAGACAAATAATAAGAACACGATTACACGAGTGTGTGTTTGTGTTTGTCTGTGTGTGTGTGTCCTAAGATTTTTTCCATTGTTCGATCTGAAATTTCCAGAAACCTTGTCGAGAAAACAGGAGTTTCCTTCTGGAGTGAATAAAGAAAACATCATAGGGATAATAAACTGTTCTTAAACTTTCTCATACAACATAATCAATCAAAACCCACGAAAAATCCCAAATAGAAAACGACAAAGGAAAGAGATTTCAAAAAAAAAGAGATTTCAAAATCTTCACTAACCGGAAACCAAAGAGACGATTATCGGTGTGATTCCCGAGATCGAGAGGTTTTTCCGGTACAATGTAGCCGATACAGTGAGAAATTTAACACCTGAAAATGTTCCAAAAGGAGGAGACTTTCTCTGTGAAAATCGAATTGAAGCAGAAATTAGGAAGAAAAACAAAAAACCCTCAAAGGAGAGAGAGTCTCTGGGATTTGGGAGTGGAGAGAGAGAGCTCAAAGGCTTTTGCTTTATGTGTGTGTGGGCGCTATCTAGCTGCTGCTGCTGCGACTACTGACGGTAACGGAGAAAGCTAAAAATAAAAATAAATTTAGCTAAGAAAATAAAATGGCAAATAGAGAGAGTGGGGCCCATTGGAGTGTAGGGTCCAGTAATTAAAGTAGGACCCACATGTGTTCCTTGTTCTACCTACAATTACAAAATTTGTTTGAGACGTTTCTTCTTCTTGTTTATGGTTTTGATCAAAGGTTTTTTCTTTGAGAGATTCCCTTTGTCTTTTATGTCGTTAAGATCGATGTCTTTATTCATTTTGTTAGCTTGATTCCACAATCTTTGATTAAACACTTCTGATTAGACATATGTTGGTAAATTTGTTAGTATGAACAAAAGGGTATAGTATGAAGCAATAGTTGTCTCATTTAAAACAAAATTGAAATACTTTTTTTTTTTTTTTTTGAGAGAGAAAGATGAAGAAACTATTCCTTTTGTTGTGTAATAAAATATAGGAAATGGAATAGTGAAAGAAAGAGACAAAGAATCAAAGCCTTGTGGATTTGTGAAATAACACTTTTTTGACCCACCAGCGCGCATAATATTGATTAGCTTTTTCATATTTTTCTACCCATTTCCCATCACTTTTCTTTTCTTTCTTTTTTTCTTTGCCTTTTCTTTTTGTTTTCTGTTTTCCCTCTACTCAAGATTTTGTCTTCATTTAAACATGTGTTCTTTGTAATCTAAATGTAAGCAACTTGAATAACAAGTGAAATAGAAAGAAAATTAATAATGAGTGGTGTAAGTGCAATAGAGAATGTAAGAAGAGTAACACAAATATGTACAATCATCACTTAGAATATTAAAATTCATTATGATGAGAGTTGCATGGGTTTAAAAATGAATATAGACTTGGTGATAAAGTTACGAATTTGGTTCAAATCATTTAGAGAGAAGTGTATTGACACAATGACACATATGGCAATGAATTGAGTTTCTTGAAAAGATAAAATCACTAGTTTAATTAATCTTGTCTCTCCAATTACCACTAATTTGTCCCATCTCTCTTTATGCCATATTGGAACAGTTGAGTTTCAATTGACATTATGTGTTTGAAATCAATGATTAGTGGACACAGTGTTTTGCGAGTTATATAATATTTGTCTTAATTTCAGCAATAAGAATAGTATAGTTTGATTAAGAAAACAATGTTGGACGTCGACGCTCTAATCATGGTGGGCTTCGTGAGTGATACTTTATTTGTCTGCAAAGTAAATAAAAGCTGCGACGATAATTTTATATTAGAATTTTAAAAAGATTAACACTGCTAATAATGTATAAAAATCCTCACTAACAGTAATAATTTGGAAAGCTGAAGTTGAAAATTCTCTCAGCAAAAGAAAAAATAAAAAAACAAAAATTATAAGCAACAGAGAGAGTTGTCGAGTAAAATACGGAAATAACCTTCACAGTGAGACGTTGCAAGGCTTTCGAGACGAGGGTAAAATGGGTAATACGGATCAGGTGGGATTGCGCGTGGATTGAGGGGATCTATGTTTGGGACAGTTTTATCTTTATCACTCTCTAACCAAACGGTCCAAAACACATGCAGTGTCTCGTCCTTTTTTTACTTTTCTTTTTCTTGTTTTTGGAATCGCTTAAGACAAATTTTAATGTCCTTAGAAATATGTATAGTATCGATCAAATCCTGTAGTTCTAAATGAAATCTCGTCTCTGACAGTATTCATTGAGTTATAAAAAATCCCATGAGTTTATTCAAAATGTAACTCGTATATATGTAATATTTAAGGTTAATTGTTATTACTTGTGTACGTAATTTTGTTATAACTAGCTATCTTTTTAAAATATTGGTTCTATATAAATCTATGTAAAAATGATGGTTTCTTTAGATTCATCAGTCTTAATTAGACACATGCAGTATATAGACATTTCTCTAAAAAAAAAAAAAATTTTAAAAAAAAAAAAAGAAAGATATTTCTCTAAAACGCATGCAGTTTTGTATGAACATTGATTAATCATATATATCTTCTTTGTCAACCATTGATTAATCATATCGATTTTCATTTTAAAGTTATGGCATAATCTCCAAATTATACAAGTTTCTTTTTCAAATGGTAAACCATTTGCTATATACCAATCCCGTAGGTAATGATATTAAATTTTATGTGGGTGTATTAGTTGGATACAATGTGGAATTAATGGGTGTGAATGTGGGGTGCTAACTATATGGTATCTTTATAGGTGGGGCTTGAATCTGAGCCTTCTCCTTTTCCAAAAGCACTAAGAAGAAGAAAATAAAGAAGGGTTTGAAACTTTGAACACAAAATAAACGTATCGAAACAATACAAAAGGGATAAAGCAACACACAATTCTTAAATTTTGGAGTCTCTTGTGATTCCATTCTCATCAGATTATGCTTTATTCTTTCCTCCTCACTCACATCATTTATTTTCATATTCAGAATATTTCTCCATTTAGTTCAATAAGTCTATGGTTTATTGGTCTAATGCTATGATTAGTTTGGAATGAATTAGTGTTGTAAAATTTGGCTAAATAGTGCAGAGTTTTGTAACCAATCGCCTTCTTATCGAATGAACTAAGTTCAACACTATTTTATTTAGGTTCGAGTCTAACGTAACTCTACAATTTGGCATCGATGATTTACGTTTTATTGATACGCCATAATCATCATCATCAAAATCTGTAAAAACTGTGGACCAAATAGATTAAAGATCCAGAACATCTAAATTTAAATAGAACTTGGCAGGTAACGGGATTTAAAGTGGCCCAAGTATTGCATTTATTCCTGATTTGGACCAAGCCCATCTATAATTTAGGCCCGTAATTTCCCTCTGTGCATTCTGGAACCATTTACTAAATATCAACAAGAAAATGAAGTGTGTAGGTGACTAGCTAGGTGCATTGTTATTAATTACACTCTTGTCACTACTTACATGTTTGTCAAAAATCAATTAGATTTGCAAAGATTATGCATTTCTAGCAGTTGATTTACCACTTTTTTGACGTTGTGGCCGGTAATATGAATACAAAGAAGCTTGAATATAGGCTTACCTTCTCTAGTGACTAGTAATGTAAGTATCATTAACTACTTTACTCATGTCTAATCGAGTTTTGAGGTAGACATGTATTAATATTTAATAGTGACTAGAGCTTCACCACCCTAATTTGTCAACAAGTCACAATTTAGGACACGTACAAGGTGGAAAGAATTGGACGGCGAAGCCGCAAGGTAGAAAAAAATAGAAAGAGAATAGCCTAAATGGGTCCAGATTCCAGCTAGGAAGTAAAGTGTTGTAACAATCTATCACATCAATGAATTTTTGGCACTATCAACATAAAGCACTCATTCACGTAATATCACATCCATTTCATGGAAAACAAAATCCTATTCGGATCGAGAGCAATAATAGTTGAGTAATATTAATCCACGACTTTCAACTTTCAAATTTTCAATCATCTATAATCATTATTGATGTAAGAATACGATATATTTTGAAAGGTGCACTCATATGTGGATGAGGAGCCCAAATCAAAAACGGCAGGATTTTTTTTTTTTTTTATAATTCGTAATCTGTTTCAATCGCCTTTCCGGCCAAAGAAGTAAGAATTCAAAAACGTTATTGACATGAAAATATAAATTAGTGTGAGTAAAAACATAAAACCGCATGTGATTTCTCGCTTTTGTGACCTAAATCGCAAAGCTTTTTAGGATTCTTTTAGTTTAGAGAATTGGGTGAAATCACATATCACTTATTAGGATCTAATAGATTATCCACCCACTACTCGGTCAAAGTCCACAATCATACTCTTAAAGTATAAGTCTAGCTTAAAGTAATTATCATCACAAATATTAGTCTGGTATCCAAGAAATCAGTATCCTAGTAAACGAACTTGCATTGATCCGGATCTTGACTACATTAATAAAGAATTACAATGTCTACAAAACTCATAAAGAAGATAAAACAATCATAACCAGATCAATAGCTGTAACAGACTCGTCCTAAGAGAGGATACTGCCTAAAGAACATTTCATGTTTGTAACAAAACTCAGCTCTTTCACAGTAATGTTCAATTCCAAGATTAATCCTTGTGAAGTATACAGCGATGCTTGAAACCTTTGCTTCAAAACTTGTTACAGAGCTAGCTAACGCGATTACTTGCCTTTCTTTTTACCGCCTCCTTTCTTCTTCTTTCCTTTATTCTTCTTTTTGCCTCCTTTCTTCTTTCCCTTAGACTTGATTCCTCCTCCATCACCTCCTCCTCCCAAGTTCTTCTCGATCCTACCGGGTTTCTTCATCTTGAAATCTCTGTCATTAGTACTCGAAGAACCAGAATGTAGCAAATGCCTGACATCAAGAACACCGCCTTTGAAAATCCCTACAGTTGACTTCAAGACTCTCTCTTCTGGGGTACGCTTTCTCTCTGCGGGTTTCCTACTACTACTTCCACCCCCACCAAATCTGCCAAGAATCATATTCTGAAAAAACACCCAATAACAGATGAGAAACTAGTTGTTGTTGCAAAGGAACAGAGTGGTTCATGACCTAAAAAATCACCTGTTCTAACATCTTCTCTTCTCTATCTTTCTGTTTCTTCATCTGCACTCTAGCTACACTCAGAGGTAGCCTATGCATCTTTTGAGGCTTCAATAAACAACAAAATAAAATCTCAAGAACCGACCCGCATAAAATCTTCACCGAGAAAAAAAGGTTTCGATTACTGCAAAAAAATCTCACCTTTCCACCGAGTGCAGTCACCTTCTTGTTCTCCAATGCTTTCTTATCCTTCCATGTCATATGCGAAGAGCCTTAACACAAGAACAAGTTCAGCTGAAGAAGAGTACATAAAACTTGCATAATCACAATACAATGGCGATCAAATGGAGAGAGATAAAGAGTGTTTACCAAAGAGTTCAACATCCTTCATTATCTTCCTAAAGCTCAGGTCTTGATCAACAGAACCCATGCCTTCCTTTTTCTTCTCCATTGGCTTGCGATTATACATTCTGATTTTGAATCTTCCTGAGACAAAACAATCAGGCGAGGCTTAGACAAAGAGCTTTCTATATCTTAAATTCGTTGACCTATAACAACATCCTATTCGAATTTCGATTCCGGATTCCGACTAATCTAGGTATGTAACTAATAGCTATATCATCCTAAGAGTTACATAATTTAGAGATCGAATACGAACCCAAAACCTGAGGGATCTCTGCAAAATCACGACTGGTCTCAGAGGAAAATTGAAGAAGCTTGATAGGGAGAGTGGCGCAGAGTGATTGATGAACAGTGAAAATCGATAAGGGGTTTAGGGTTTCAATGGCGGAGAGGGAAGGCTTTGTTCTTCTTTGATTTTTTTTTTGTTATTTTGGCAGAAGTAAAATCTATTGGGCTTGGTGGGCCTTTCCCTTAAAACTTTGGGCTTTTCCTATAACGTTTTCCAACTATATACAGTAAAACCTCTATAAATTAATAAAGTTGGGACCAGAAAATTTTATTAATTTAGAGAGGTATTAATTTATCGATAACTTAATAATTATTAATTTATAGAGAGATTTTACTAATTTTGTAATTTCTTAAAAAATTTCTATCTAAAAATAAAAAATTTCTTTATAAGCAATATCTTTTAAAAACTAATTACAAGTAGAAAAGTAATTATTACGTTTAAAAAACAACACAAACTTTTTTCGAATAATAGAGTCATATTTTATTAAATTTTTTCATAGAATATTTTAAATATATATCATAGTAATTCATATATGACATATATAAATTTATATCATATATATATGTATATATATATTAAGTTAAATATATATATATAAGTTTATACAATTATTAATTTATGATATAAATGGGACCATATATTTACATGAAACTTTCAAAAAAATTATTATCTTATTAATTTATCGATTTATGTCATATTTTACACTGGTCCCAACTCGGGACCGGAAGAATTTATTAATTTAGAGAGATTATTAATTTATAGAGTATTAATTTATAGAGGTTTTATTGTATGTTTTTTATACCTTTTATTAGGCCTGGGAATTCGAACCGGTCGGTTTATTCGGGTTCGGTTTCTCGGTTTTTCGGTTATTTCGGAATTTGAAAGCTGTTCCGAAACTAACCGACTAAGATTTCGGTTCGGTTCGGACACGGTTATTTAGGGTTTTGTAATTCGGTTATTCGGTTCAATCGTTTTGGGCCAAAACTGTTTTTAAAAGTGGGCTTTGTCTTTTATTTTTTGAACTAACTAGGCTTATCTTAATTGGAAACAAAAAAAAAAAAAAAAAAAAAAAAGAGAAAGATAAGCTTTTGTCTTCAACGAAGCAACCAACGGCCGACGAACCGACGAATGGAGACACCGGCGGCGAGTTCTGAAAGGCGGAGCGGGCGTATAGATCTGAAAGGCGAAGAAGATGATGATGATGATAAGCTGTTGGTGATGAATCGAAGAAGAAGAGAAGCTGTTGATAATAGATCGAAGAAGAAGAAGAAGATGTTGGTAATAGATCGAAGAAGAAGCATAAGAAGAAGGAGAAGAGAAGCTGTTGATAATAGATCGAAGAAGAAGAAGAAGATGTTGGTAATAGATCGAAGAAGAAGCATAAGAAGAAGGAGAAGTTGAAGAAGAATAAGATTATGATGATAATGAATGATTGATGATTGACGAAACTATCTAAAAAGAGAAAGAAGAAGAAGAATAGAAAGCTCTAAACGAAGAAGAAGAGCGGCTAGGGTTAATATTAGGTTAGGGTTTTTGTTTTTCGGTTAACCGTTCGGTTCAAGCGAACCGAACCGAAATTCTCGGTTAACCGAACCTAAATTAATATCTTTTCGATCGGTTTAACTCAATTAAATTGAACCAAACCGATTTGCCCAAACCTCGGTTCGGTTCGGTTCGGACAAATCGGTTCGGTTCAAATTCCCAGGCCTACCTTTTTTTTTTTGGGCAAACCAACTTTCATTATAAAGAAGTGTCGTTACATAGCAGGAGAGTTCAAAGCAGATAAAGCAGATAAAGAGGACTTGGCCAGCGCGTCAGCTAACAAGTTAGCTTCGCGAGGAACAAAGGAGAACTTAATGGATAAAAAAGAACAGCGAAGCAAGGTAATATCGTGAAGAATTCCTTGCAGCTCGTTCGAAGTGGTCTCTGTATTGAGCAGAGATATAAGGACTTGAGAGTCCGAAAAAACGATGATGGAGGTGAGTTCCATTCTAGACGCTGCGGTCAGCGCTGATTTCAGAGCTAAAGCTTCGGAAGCTAAAGCGGAGGGAGTATGGAGGCGAGTAGCCGAGCCCTGATGGATAACCCGGTGGTCCCGAGTCTTAAGAATCCATCCCATACCACAGGAGCCAGAGGAAGCGTTCCAAGCCGCATCCGTGAAGCAAAAGACGACCTCAGAACGAGGGACCAATTGCGAAGAAACCTCAGTAAGAGGAACCAGAGAAGAAGAAACCTCAATAAGAGGTAATGTTGTGGAAACAGCCTCAATAAGAGGTAAGTGTTTGAACTTATTGCCCAAAGGCGCTTGGAGCAATTGTTGAGCAAGTTGCCATTCTTTTGCTGCAGTAATGGACTTATTTAAAATTTCCGCTTCAGAGAAGGCCTGGTTTTCAAAAATTAGTCGATTTCGTGACTTCCAGAGTTGCCAAAGGATCCAATGGAACAGAGAGGTGTGAGAGAGTCCTATAGGAGGGAGGCACTGGGAGATCCGAGCCGTCTCTAACAGTTGAGCAACTGAACCAACAAGGTCTTCCCTGGGTTTCCGGTGCAGAGGAGCTAAATCCCATACCTTCTGGGCAAAAGGACATGAGAGGAGGAGATGCAGTTCTGTTTCTAAAGCTCCACATCTTTTACATGATAGATCACTGGTGATACCGCGGATAGCGAGGTTATCTCCAACCGGGAGTGCTCTGCGCTTAATCTTCCAGAGGAACATTTTCAGTTTTGGGGGAAGACGTAATTGCCAGATATTTAATTTCCAATTGAAGGACTCAGGTCCCAGAGCTCGAGAGTGAAGCTTGGACAGGACATATCCTGTTTTAGTTGAGTAGGCGCCGGATTTTTCGGGTAACCAAACCATGGAGTCCTTCTTTTTACTTGAGCTTGGGATCAGTTTGCGGATGGTGCTCTCATAGTGCGGAAGATGATGGCGAATGGCTCTTGTATTCCAATCGTTGGAGCTTGGAAGTAAAAGAGAGCTGACCTTAAGGTTATGAGCAGCCAAAGTAGGAGGACCAAAAGGGACAAGGGGCAGGGCAGTAGAAAGCCAGGGATCCTTCCAAACGTTTATTGAGTTGCCATCCCCAACTGTCCATCCTAACCCTTTCCTAAGAACCTCTCTTCCTGCCATGATACTCCTCCACCCGTGAGAGCAGGAGGAGGAGATAGAGACCTCTAGGAAGGGTTTCTCATGGCAGTATTTCCCTAGCAAAACCCTGGCGAGAAGGGATTCAGGGCAGTTCAGAATTCTCCAGCTGATGCGTCCTAGGAGGGCATCATTAAATTGTGCAATCTCTCTGAAACCAAGGCCTCCTTCAGATTTGGGAAGAGTTAGCGTGTCCCACGAAACCCAACTCATCTTACGCTTCTCTGGTTTGTCATCCCACCAAAAGCGAGTAAGAATGGATTGAATTCTTTTGCAAAGGGAGAGAGGAAGTTTGAAGCACGACATAGCGTAGAGGGGCATCGCTGCTAAGACGGACTTTAGGAGAATTTGCTTTCCCGCAGCCGAGAGGAAGCGAGAGGTCCAACTGTGAGAGCGTTGGCGGATCTTATCGACAATAGAGGTGAAGATATCCTTCTTTCGCCTACCAAAATGTTCGGGTAGTCCTAGGTACTTTCCAACTCCGCCCTCATTAACTATACCCAGCTTGGATTTAGCAGCCTCTTTAACTGAAGGAGGAGTCTTAACAGAGAAAGTAATGGCCGATTTAGTAACATTGATGACTTGGCCCGATGCTTCTCCATAGCGAGAGATAATTTCCATTAGCTTGTTGCAACTTTTAGGGTTAGACCGACAAAAGAACATCGTATCATCGGCGAAGAGAAGGTGGTTGATGGGAGGGCTACCCCGAGCCACTTTGATACCCGGTAATTGGCCACGAAGTTGCGCCCGATGACAAAGACCCGAAAGCACTTCGGTACACAAGATGAAAAGATAAGGGGAAAGAGGATCCCCTTGCCGTAAGCCTCGGGAAGGAAAAACTTGCCCTTTTGGAGTACCTTTAACTAGGAAAGAGTAAGAAACAGAGCCTACGCATGCCATGATCCAAGATGTCCATTTGTCATGAAAACCAAGACGTCGGAGGACTGCTTCTAAGAAAGGCCACTCAATTCGATCATAGGCCTTACTCATGTCAGTCTTAACCGCCATAGAGCATCGTACCTTAGCTTCCGAAGTGCGCAAGAAATGTAAGATTTCATGAGTGATTAAAACGTTGTCAGAGATAGCACGGTTAGGAACAAAGGCAGATTGATTGACGGAGATGAGAGAAGAGAGCATGGGTTGCAGCCTTTTGGTGAGGATCTTAGCTATGATTTTGTAGTGTACTGTGCACAAAGCTATAGGCCTGTAGTCGGAGACTTTCCTTGGACTAGTAACTTTAGGTATCAGACGGATGTGAGTTTCATTAAGCCTCTGGGAAAGGTAGCTTGATTCGAAGAAAAGACATATATCTCGAGAAACATCTAAACCAATGATATCCCAGAAAGACTGGTAAAAACCCGCAGAAAAACCATCCGGACCAGGCGCTTTATCTGGATGAATAGAGAACACTGCCTCCTTAATTTCAAGAAGAGAAGGGATGGATATAAGTTGCCGGTTCATATCAGTCGAGACCTTGGGAACCAGAGCTTCCTCCACAACTGAATTGGTAGAGGGTTGTCCCGCTGTGAATATGGACTGATAGTAGCAGGAGATGGTATTAGCAATCTGGTCTTCATCATGATATTCATTTCCTTGCTCATCTTCAATTACAGAGACATTGTTAATTACTCGCCTTGCTCTTGTTGCAGCATGAAAGTAAGCCGAGTTACGGTCTCCACTTTGTAGCCATTGAATCCTGCTCCGTTGTCGCCAAAACAATTCTTCATCTCTGTAAAGTTTTTCCAAGCTCGCTGTGGTTGAGGTAATGAAAGGCTGATCAGGAGTTGAAGAAGAGAGAGCAGCTTCGAGGGCTTCCTGGGCTTCCTTAATTAAACGGCTACTGTTTGCATTTTGGGCCTTAGTCCACTTAATAATATGGGCTCTGCACCGATTAATTTTCTCCAAGACAGATTCTTCATGTGGGCTTCTCCAAGATTGGCCCACTAAGGTTCGAATTTCTTCATTGTTACGAAGGCGCCGATCAAACCTAAACAGGCCCTTGTTCTTCCTCTTACAATCATCCAAGAACGTAACAAGGGGTCGATGATCAGACCCTTCGAAACGAAGGTACTCACAACGACCGGCAGGATACGCTTCAAACCAGCCGCAATTTGCCAGAGACCGATCCAAACGAGATTTAATAAAATGGTCATACCGCCAGCCTCGCCACGAGAAGTGATTCCCGGAGTGTTTAACATCCCATAGGCCATTCTGCGCCACAAAGGATCGGAAAGGGATAAAGGAGCCTTCACATCGGGCAGGACCTCCGACCTTTTCGAAATTATCAAGTGTATCATTAAAATCCCCAGTGAGTAGCCATGGGGTTGAGCGATCAGAGCCGAGATTGGAGACATAATCCCAGAATGCTGCTCTGTTTTCTGTTTGAGGGAGACCATATATAAAGGAGATGAAGAGGAGCTGATCCTTGCACTTGATTTGGGTATCGATGAGATTAGGAGAAGATTCTAAGATTTCCAGGTTAACTGCGTCCTTCCAAAATAAAGCCAAACCTCCACTTAAACCCAAAGGAGGGACAGTGAAATGATGAGTATAACCCATCCAGTTAACTACCTCTAGCACCTTGCTATCCTGATTCTTGGTCTCAGTAAGGAACAGTATGTCTGGAAAAATACTGAAGCGTATTTCTCGAAGACGACGAACTGTCAAGGGGCTCCCTATCCCTTGACAGTTCCAGCTCACCATAGCTAAGGAAGGGGGTTTGATGGGATCCGAAAATCCCCCGTACTCTTGGTGATAGCTGGGATAATGTTAATTGGTGGAGCTCTTGTTTGACCATGGTCCACTGTATCCTGACGCTCAGGTAAATCTGCCTCATTGGCAGGAGGATCCACATTAAGCTTCTTCTTGGCATTTGGTCTAGTGACGGTGCGCTTTTTCAGACTAACTCCTTGGAGAGGGCTGCGGACAACACGTCTCCTAGGGGAGGCCTTAGCTGGTTTTCTCCTCCCTGAGGTCTTAGGTTTGGTAGTAGTAGGAGCTTTTTTCCTTGGGGCTCCTTTGGGTTTTGAGGGAGCAGCTGGAGGAATTGGTCCCAATCTGAGGGAAGTGTGAATTCTGAGATCACCAGGAACCAGCGAAGAATTCTGTACATCACCAGGGAGATCTTGAGTATTATCTCCCGCATATTGAATTTCCACATCTTGGAGGTGCCCTGAACCAAACCTGGAAGTAGTGAGGAGGGAGGCTGTATGAGTGATTCGTGGGGAGATTCTTTCCAAGGCAGGTCTTCTTGAATGGGGAAGACTGGAAGGTTCACCAATTTCCAACCCTGCAGGCCTAGGAGGCGGAAGACTTGGGGGGCAGGGTAGGGGAGGGCAAGGTGGAGGCGATTGAGAATAGTGAGATCTACCGGATCGAGCAACAACCTCATAGTCAGGTTTCCGAGGAGGGCTGCGATGAATAGGGCTAAGCCTTGGTGGACTGCGCCGTGAATCAGACCTTGAGGTCTCCCTTCCTCTAGGATGGTGGGGCCTAAAATCAGCAGAGTAGGCGCTCCCAATGTCCCTTGGAGATTGGCGTCTATGACCTTGAAGAGTAAAATCTCTAGAAACAGAGTAATGACGGTCAGGAGAACGAGAACGATGCCTGACTACCTCGTCCCTCCTGGAGCGAGAGGGATTCCTTTGTGAGTGAGTAGCTCCAGAATCACGGGATGGAGAGAAGCGTCTGGTATCTCTAGCTAAGGGATACCTAGGGGAAGAGAGGCCTCTGTTTCTTCCCCCACTAGCAGCTCTGTTCTCCCGGCTTCCCACAGGTAGAGGCCTAGGAGGCGGCCTGTCCTCTCTTCTCTCTTCTTGGCGCCTGCGTTCAGAATCCATACGTTGAGCCGCCTTAAGTTGATTAATGCCGAGAGATCTAGAGACTAAAGGAAGAGGGCAGTCCTTTTTTTCATGAGAGAGTTCAAAGCAGTTGAAACAATGTTTCTCTAGCTTCTCGTACTCTAGTTCCACAGTTTTGATAGAACCATCAGGAAGCCGGATAGGCATGGACATTTCCAGAGCCGCTAGGCCATTAATAGGGACTCGGACACGACCTTCTAAGACCTCTCTCGCCTCCAGAGTACCAAGTTCCTTCCCGATAGTGCGAATAGTTTGGTCCGACCAGAAATGGAGAGGGATACCATGAATTTTGATCCAAAAGGTGATGAAGGCTGGAAAAGTGTCAGAGATAATGGGTTCCCATTGTTGTAGAATGAGCATCCAGTTCTTAAAATGATAAGGACCTCTTCGAAGAACAGACTGGAGGTCCGCTTCACTCTCAAAACGAAACTGAAAACATTCAGAACCAAGGTCTCTGCCGACAACTCTACTCTCGAGATTCCAGAGTTGAGGCATGTAGTTGACAACAGCTTTAGGCTTTTGAACTGTTGAGTTAGTGACTCTCCCTATAAGGGTAAGCTTGTTTTCCTCAATGAGCGCAGAGGTATCGCATTGGGGGATGCGGACAGGGGACCGGCGGCGAGAGCTTTTAAGGGTTCCGGCGACCCATTTTTCTTTCTCAGATCTAGTGAGGCGGCTTGCCATAGTGGGTGAGGAATGACCCAAGAAAAGAGAGTAGCTGGACGGGGTAGAGGAAGACTAGGAATGAGCTTTAAGTAAACCTGAAAGACCGAGAGTAACTCAGAAGAGGAGTGAGGCGAAGAGCTGCACACCGCAGTAAATGGTTGGTCACCACCAACCTCGAGAGGGGCTCGAAGGGAGACGGAAAGCAGTCACTGACGGGCCGGAATGCTACCGGAAAAGGACGAGGGGGTCACCGGAGAAGCCATTATGGGGAGGAAAAGGGGAAAAGTTACCATATTTGGTTAAATAAAGTAGGTGAGATCTGGAAAATTTGAAAACCCTAACTTCTTTGAGGAGTCATCGGGAGACGTGCCTGAGAGAGAAAAGTCTAGATCAGATTTTCCTTTCTACACAAGAGTCCCAGGCCTACCTTTTATCTTTTCTTTTCCATGGTTTAGCTCTCTCGTCATTGAAGCTTATTAATGATTTATTTTATCTTAATATATATTTTCAAATTTTTTGATACACTATATTTTTTTCATATCGTTCTCTTACAGTGTTACATGAAAAAGAAGAGAGAAGTAACTAGGAAGTAGTATTTATCAAATATAAAGTCTTTGTTTTCCTATTCATTATGAGTTGATTTTAGTTTATTTATTTGATAAAGAATATACGTGAATTTTTGATGGGGAAATGAATACACACATATGATACATTGCATTGGTCTTCTTCTTCTTTTTTTTTTTCTTTTGTAGTCTTCCTATTCTTATTTTTATATATTTAAATCGTTAATTTTGATGGGGAAAGGTACACACACGCATGAATACATGATACAATGAATTGGTCGGAAATTGGGGAGTTATCAGCTGTTGTCTTATACACGTACGACTACTTCTAAAATTTTTAGAAAAAATCTATTAAAATATTTAATTTTATGTATACTGTTCACACGCCGTGGGACTTCGGCCGGAAATGTTCAAGTACGAACTTGAAAAAGAGTAGAAGACTCTCTGTTTCATTTTTTTTGTAACCATATCTACTTTTATAGATTCGTTTTCAGAACGCAGCCAGTTTGGACGATAAAAGAACAAAAAAAGCTTTTTATTTTCTCCATTGTTGTTGAAGAACAAAATCAGTAGCCCTACCAATAATCAGCGATGAGATGAACACTAGAAAAACCAGCGACTCTGAATTAGATACTTTAGAGTTTTACTTTTATGTAATCCTTTCGCTTCAATCTGTATTATAAGGTTCAAGATCTAGTTAATTATGTTTATGTGACTATATAAATGGACCAAAATATAAAATTTTATCAAACAGAATCTAAGTAAGAATTTGCCGGTTCAGTACAGAAGATTATGTACTTTAACCAGATAGCTTGTTATTTCTCAGTTCTGTGATATTTGGATAAAATCGAGCAACAACCACTAAACAGAGCTTTATACACAACGTTCACATTTGTTGAGAAAAAACTGAGGAAAAAATGATTGATGGCTAATTAGTCAATTTAGTTTATGACCCAGAGAAACAATAAAATGTAAAAGAAAACCAAGAAATGTGAACGTGGAATGGAAATAAATATACCGTTGCGTCACTCTTCTTAATAGTTTTCTAGATTTAATTTATAAAGTCTCTTTGCTTTTGGACCAACTTCGCGTTACTCCACACCACGTACGTGAAACTTCACATGGACTTGTTCAAAATTCCATATTGTAAATTGAAATAGAGTAAATATAATGTTGATTATCATCTAAGATAGTTGTAAATTCATTATGAGCTAAAAGTAAAAGTTTATAAATTGACTCTTCATACGACGTGCATTATTTTAATAATATGTGCAACAAATTCTTTTTCAGTTTTCATTGTACATAGTTTTATAATAATAAATTAATTGACCAAAAATATGCATGGGAGTTGAAATGAAGGTGAGAGTTGGGTGAGAGAGATTAGGACATGCATTGATTTTGATAATTTTGACTAATAATTCTCTTTTGAGTGGTTGTTGGGCAGCCGCAATTTTGCTCAATGTTGAGATGTAGGAGGCATAAAGGCATACACACACACACATTCCTCTTCCTTTCCTTTATTTATATATTTTGTCAAATATATTTGTTTTCACACTGTCCATTATACGTCATCATTTATTCATGTATATTTAGGGAAATTTTCAATTTATATTGAGATATCTTGTCTCAATAATATATTATTTACATAAATTACCATTGTCAATTTGTCATGATTTATCGGAATTGTTAATGAATTAGGAAGTGATTTTAAAAATTCTAAATAGAAGAGATTATGTAACTAATCTTTCTTTTCTGCCAACGAATAATTATGGCTAAAATTAAAGTAAGAAATAAATATCTACACATCAACAATAATACGTATTGTCGTGTTCTCCGCATGGCGTAGGCTGTTTTGGTCCTTGTTCAAAAGTCGGCTGAAATCTCTCTAAGCTGACATTTGTATGCATTGAGTATATCACATGATTCACGTAAAAGGTGAAACTAAAAAGGAGTTGATTAATTTATTGGATTTCGATTAATATTTTGAACTAGTCACCGTTAATTCTTTTTGTTGTTGTAATTTTGGTATGATATCACTTTTGTAGAAGACAGCAAGATCAAGCGCAAGTTAGATTGAGTTTTAAAAAAAAAATCTTATTTATGATTATAAACCATAATATATATAGGGTATTTTAACAAAAAAAAATTATATAGGGTAACAAATAATTTTAGGACGGTCCTGATTTTATATACCAATACATGTGCCTATGTATACAAATGTCACCTATGTATACATTATGAATTTATGATATTAATGCGAAATAGAAAGACAGGGGAAAAATTGAAATATCAACAAGAAAACGCACATAAATATTAAAGGTCCAAGGGAATGCTGCGCACATACGAACTCTTATTACTAATATATATGTTAGATGGTATATTTGGAACACTGTTAGAAACAAATGCACAAACGAACAAAAAAAAAAAGTCACACCTATAATGCTGTCAAAAAAAAAAGTCACACCTATAAACTAAATTTTCAAAAAAAATTTGTATTAAAGACTAAAAAGTGGTCGGAGAATGTAGTCAAAGTACTGTAGATAAGGTTTCCACAATAACGGGAAACGGAAAAAGTTAACTATACGTTATTGACTTTTCTAAGCTAAAACCTTTAATATAAGCTTGAATCATCTAGGCTTTTTGGCAATCTCCATATTGATATATTTTTGGACGAGGAATAATGTGGGTCTAACAAAGTAACAAGTAACGATGATCACTCACTTTCTACAACTATGTATATCTTCAAAGCTAACATTTTAGGAATGGGTCGGTTATGCGATCTAGTCACTTTTGTACATATATATTTGAGACTACGACGTCCCTATGTACATATACGGCTTGGATCTTGCATGCCATATATTTTCCTCTCATGGCACCCACAAAAATAGTGACGCTCGTGAACTTCTATGTTTAATTGTTTTTCTCTTCTTACTCAGAATGATGAATGACTAAACGGAAAACTATATGATTAGTCCGTTATATAATTAAGTAATTAACCTAAACACAAACAAAATTATCTTTAATATGATCGATATTTTTTTTTTTGGGCAAACAATCGCAGTATTTAGTTATATGTTATTTAGATGGCATAATGCATTCTCATTGTTTGCCCCCAAAATAAAAATCATTCTCATTTAGAATCACATATCTATTTGTCAAATATAATTATAGTTATATGTTCGTTTTTTGGTATTGGGGGGTGATTGAATCATTTTTCAAGAAGAGATAGAAACACACACAAAATATGAGGGAGGGCACAAAGAAAAAGAAAAAGAAAAAATTGCACAAGAACAAAAGAAACGTTGAAGACGGTAGAAAGTTATTTTCATCTGCGTTTAAAATTACTCACTTGATCATACTTTTCATCATGCATGTTATATATTCGAACCAATGTATGGCTATCTTCACCCATTCACTTTTTTCATGACCGGAAGCTATTTAATCAGGACTTAGATTAATAGAACTTTCTGATGTATGATTGCATAATGTATAATTAGTATTGACATAATATAGAAAGCATATGATGAAGTTTATGTAAGAGTTGAAGCTCCAAAAGAGGAATTGGTGATTATTCTCATATGAGATCAGTTGTTAGTTTCTATATCTTCAAATGATATTCTTGTTGAAATTAATTCGATATTGAAATAAACAGGGTGCAAACAAATACTATAAAAAATTTGTGTATCTATAATAGAAAAGTGTATTCAAACTCAAACTGAATTAGCTCATTTAAGTAAATGAATCTTAAAATAAAATATACTTCAATGTCAATAAAAGTCGAACTAAAATGAACAATTCATCGTTTTGACAATACTAAAACAAGTAACACATTTCAACTATAACATTCGTTCCCTCCCTCCAGTCACATAAACACGATCCTTTTTTACTTTTAATATCAACCATTAATTAAGATTGAACACAATAACGTGAGCGTATTATTATTGCAGCCTTTGCTTTTGTTTTAATGAAATGTACAATGTTGCTAATTATACCAAAAAATCTTGATGCTTTTTATTGCAAAAAGTAACGCGTCGATGGTGTTGTTTTCACAGTAACGAAGAAATTAAGTACTATACGGTAAAATAATGGACGGCGCATGATGCGTGTTCTCATTTTGATTTTGGATTTTTAGATTTCACAAGTAACTGAATCTTTCAAAGCTTTTTTTTGCAAAGTACATTTCCAGTCAACTTCTTCAAACGGTCGGTGCTTACGTGGCACCATCACTGGGGGTATTCACAAATTTGGACGGAGATAGGGATATTTATGTCTTTTCACAAGTTAAGACAATTTACGCCTTTAGGAATTTACAGTGTTCTAAAAAGCGGTCTAGGCGGTCGCCTAGGCCCCGACTAGGCGCTAGGCTCTTATGCGACGCCTAGATAACCGCCTAAAAACACAGTTTAATGTATTTTTTCAATTTTAATTAGAGTTTTATTTATATATATAGTTATAAATATTCATATATTGTTTAATATAAATATAAATAAATGTTTTATCTAATTTTTGTTTATAATTTCATAATTTTTAGTTTTATATAGATATTTTATATAACTTTTATATATAATATCATATTTATAATATTTTATGTTATAAACGTCTAAACCGCCTAAAAAATCGCCTAGACCCCGATTAGGCGTTCTAGGCGCTAGGCATTGGATCACCGTCCGCTTAGCGCCTAGCGCTTTCTTGAACACTGGGAATTTAGGAGGTTTAGAAACACACATGCGCTCGTCTCGTGCGACTAAATTTCATGACCACACCCAAATTTTTGTTTTTTTAAACAAGCATATATACATTATATGAGATTATACGAGCTTCAATACATTTTCGCTCTTTTAGAGCTGTCTTCTATACTTACTTTTTCTACCACTAAGTTAGAGATATGTAACGAAATTAATCTGTTAACCAAATATATCAAACCATTCCGGTTCATGATTTTCTTTCTTGGTTTACTGTTTCTTTGCACAAAGTTAAATTAGTTACGAATGTTAGATGAATCTTCATCTATGGAGAACTCTCCGAGCCGTCTCTCTGAATGGACACGTGGAGCTCACAAACCCGTCTACCAAATGTAAATACGTTTTCAGCTCGTGACACGTAGCCACATTGATGCTGTTCAAGTGCGGCGAGTCACGGCTGCTCAGCCTAAGCTCCTTACCGACCTCGGCGTAAACCCACGGCGTCTCCTCCACGCGTCTCTGTATCCAGCTCGGCATTATCGAAGTCGTCGACATCTTCACGTTCTCTTGCTCTCTGTTTTCTAAAACGACTCCAGGAACTTTGGTGATAACGTCGTCGGAGTTCACGATTCTTAGAACCTTCGTGCCTTGCTTCTCAAGGAGTTTCCGAAAGCATCTGTTTCCGACACGTGGACCTCCAAAAGATATTACGGTAACCATCGGCGCACGTTTAAACGTCGTTTTGATATCATACGCGGCTAGTGTCGCGATCGCAGCTCCGAGGCTGTGGCCTGTTATCGTTACACTTAGCGGCTCGTCGCCGTAAGATTGGAGTAGCCTTGAGATCTCTTCTCTGACCATGTCTCTCAAACTGTGAACCCCTGAAGTGTACAAGCTTAAAAACCCGCTCTCGACCATGGGCCCAGAGTTAGACCCGTTTAGATTTGGTCCAGTAGGCCCATTAGGGAGATGAGTCAGCGTGGCGCGAAGGTTCTCTAACCATTCGAGACACGTGGCGGTTCCACGGAAGGAGATGACGACGTCTCTACGCCCAAGCCGTGAGATCTCTTCCTTGTCTTGGCAAACTGCCACGTAACCAATCCAGCTGGATTGTGTAGCCATCCAGCTTGGCGCTTTCTCAATCCAACGTGGCAAGTTAATACCTGACGTGGCACGAAGGTTCTTCGTTAGTCGATAACCGGAATTAGGTAAACCGGATCGGTCTAACAAAGTGCTCCTCGGAAACCGGCATGTCGCGTAGGTTGGAGAAGAAGGATCGAAATCAAACGCTTGATAAGCCGATTCGACGAATTGACCGTACCGGAGAATCTCACGCCGGAGATTTTCGTCCAATGGGTCTAAAAGACCATCCCAATTTTGAAGCCCCTGGTACTCCATCCATCTCCGGCCAAGCTTAACCGGGTTATTCGAACCAGAGGGCGAGAATTCGCCGGAACTATGATCTTGGTTTAGTAGCAAACTCTCCCAGGTTTCCGGTTTGGGTAGAACCGGTGGTCGGGAGGTAGAAACTGAAGGAGAAGGAAGAGTAAGTACACATCGACATTGACGATTCGACGTCGTACCATTTATATAAGAAACGACGTCGTGCTTTGGGAGTGAAGGTACTAGTACACTATGCGGACGTACGGGAGAAAGAGAGAGTCTCATTGTTGAGAAAGTGTGTTTGTTTTTTAACTTGTGAAATATTTGATCTGATTAATCAAAGTTTTTAAAGTTATATATAGAGAATGGAGTTTGTTGAAGATAGATTTGGTGTAAGAAGATGAAGTGAAGAAGAGAGAGAGGAAATGGGTTCCTTTTATAGTGAGGGAAATTGGGATCTATAGTGGAGTTAAAGAGATTGTTGATAATGAAAGGACTCGACTCTGAAAATTGTGGACAATGCTTACATAAGTATATGAATTTATATCTAACGCCCACATATACATTGGTACTCGTTTGTGTGTGTGTAGATTTCATGTAGTTTTCGTCTATGTAAAAGCAATAAATATACCAAATTATATTAGAAAGCTAACAATATATAGCTGGGTTTTGTATATTTTATTTAATGAAGAATGAGAGTACAATCTTTGACAAAGTATATAGTATGTGGTACACATAAGCTATGTTTTTTCTTTCTTCCACTTAACTAACATGCACCATAAAGAGAATGTGAAATCAACATTTGAGATCACCAATGGGTTTTACGTTATGACTTGTTCTTCTTTTTTTTAACATCGCGTTATTACTTTTCTAATGTGAATTATATCAATTCACTAAAGAAAAGTAACCGAATTGGTGACCAAAAAAAAAAAAAAAAAAAGTAAATGTATGATAATGAGATACAAGAGATCAATGGACGGCTGAGATGATATGAGACGAGAAAGGAGTGTGTATATAAATATCGGACCGTCGCTTTCGATGGGACTGAACACGTGGGAGTTCTCCCAACAATACGGCTCAGAGAGGCTTTGACACGTGAGGTACAATCACCAGCTCAGCTCGGCTCGGCTCATATCGGCTGGTTTTGGTACTTTCGGCTTAGCCATTCGCCGCAATTGTGAAGGAAATTTACCTCCTATACTCCCACGCCTGGCTTCTAGCATATGTTTTTTTTTAAAACATAAATTAACGCCAAGTTTTTATGTCTACGTATAAAAGAAACATATAACAATATCAGAAGTTTAATTTTCAGAAGATCAATTTTCAAATTTATATATATGTTATTATAAGACGATTTAAAATCTAAATATTAAATGTAAATGTAAAGAGAACCGTCCTTAAGTAATTGGTGGCCACAAGCACCATATTTCTTTTTGACCAAATAATTATCATTTAATAATAGAAAAATACAAAATTTCTTTGTGAGGATTGAACTGGCGATCCCAACCCTTGAAGCATCCACGTTTACCAGCATAATTACTAATGAATTTACTGTAACAAAATCGGCTGCTTAAATATATGTAGCTGTGAACGGCCACAAGCCTAAGATTGGCGTGCTTGTAGTTATGGTCGGATTCGAGTATAAATGATTATATTTGAATGAGCAGAGAAATATTACGGGTTGAATGAATCCATTGTAGGCCGGACTCATTCGAATAAGGCAGTCAAATTAGGTTAAATGTGGTTCGGGTTAGTGTTTTGGAGGAATATACTGCAATAATAAAAAAAAATATTGTATCAGATTTTTGAAATTTATATAGAAGTCTAAGGAGTTGTAAAGTTTTTTCATCATATTAATAGAAAAAACCTTGGACAATGTGATTCATTTTTTTAAAAAAAAGATCTCGTTGTTTTTGCCATAATTCAAAGCTATACTACACATTCTTAATCACAAAAATGGCAAATGTTAATCGAGATCGTAATCAACTTATTAAACTTACGAAATCACAGTTGAGTTGATCACAAACCACATCATCTTAATTAAGTACACGTTGTTTTGGAAATTACACAACCAAAAAAATTTACAAAAAACATTTAATTAATTCCATATATTTCAATACACTGAATCAGAGAAAACATATTGCAACCATTAATTTAACGAAAATATATTTCGATAAACTGAATCAGAGAAATCATATTGCAACCACTAAATTAACTTACTTGCCTATATCGCGGGTTACAGAACAAGTCCAATTAAAAAATTGGAGTGATGTGTTGTTCGGGCAAAACGAGGAATACAAGAAGTGCAACGTGAGTTACTTACTATTTGAAATTTACATCACATGTTTTATTTATATTAGTCTCGTGCTTTTTAATAACCTATAGCCTCATTTTCATTTACAAAGCCTATTAGAGTCTTAGCTGTTTTGCAATATTTTCTTTTTATTGTATTGATAACCATCGTGATTTCTTTTTTTTTTATAACCCAGTATCCAGACCACACAGTGATCTGACTAGTCCACTGGGCCTAAGCCCGCGTCATAGGGATTTTTAAGCCTCCACTTAAGGGCCCTCTGATAAACTGGTGGTCTGGGGCGCCTGAGCAAGTCCGCAGGTAAATTCCCAGGTGGCCACAGAAGTGAGAGAGCGAAACTGCGTCTGGGGAGGATCGATCTCTGGCCTAGACCAACAGGGCGATCCTTCCAACCAAACGAGAACCACTCGCCCACCACCATGTGGTTACCATCGTGATTTCTGAAAGACTGTTTTAACTCTATATACTTCTAAGCATATTACATCGTTTCAAATGCGTTTCAAATGTCACCCACGTGTGACACTAGTAATAAAAACACTTTTAGATTCTCGATATCCTTACAGATTATATGTCATTTGTAGTAAAAAAGAATTATGTAGACTAGGAACTAACTTGAAGAAAATAGTTTCAATTTACACGATAAAACTTAAATACTAAGGAGGAGGAGATACACATGGAATGCATGGAAAATATCTTCGTTAGGGATACGATCCAAAATGCTTAAACAATTAAAGTGATTTGGTGTTCCAACCGATTGGGAACAAATTTCCTATTTTGTAATAAACAAAAATTGCATGTACCACTTTAGGTCTTTTGGTTATAACACGTACTTTACTTACATTCCCCAATTTAAATTTCATCACTTTGGATATATCAAACCAACGTGACCATTCATATATTTGTGGACACAATACTACAACACCACAAAGTCATTAATTAGTTATTTATAATTATTATTTCTTCAGTCTTTTATCCGATGGGACTATTTCAATGTCATTTACATTGGCCATTTTCTTCTTTCGGGACCATTTGTCCACGTTGTTACGGAAAAAACTAAAGAGTATTTTTTTTTTCTATACCAAAAGAAACCTAAGAGGTGAATTTTAAAGGAGGCGAACAGAGATGAATGGAGTGATAGCGATGACTTATACTTTTATCGATGTTGATTTCTTGGAATTGGTGATTTTGTTTACAGTTGGTTTTCGTATAGTATAACCAAATCTTTCACCTTAATATATATATATATATATATATATATATATATGTGGTATCTACCATCCAGTAACTCCTACGATAAACTATTATTATGAATTTCTTATAATTTAAATACGTAAAATATATGTATATCATTAGGAAGTAGAAAACAAATTTTTTTAATTTAGTAACACTTTAACAAATTCATTGTAGTCTTTAGTGGTTCAAGATTGATTATGTTATCAGAGCCGGCCACAAGGCCAAGCAGGCAAATGCTTGCGGCCATTAAATAATATCATTAATTTTCGGTCACATTTATGGAAAAGTTCATGTGGTCTAGTGGTTATAATTCAGTGGTGCAGTCAACAATTCTCGGGTTCGGGTCCTGAAGGTGTATTTTAAACATATTTTTTATTTTTTTAATAACAAAATCATTAAAAAAAAAAAAATGTGGCCCTTTTTTTTCCTCAGCTTGTAGCCACGTGAAACTCCGGACGGCTCTGTATGTTATGATATCAAAAATAATAGCAAGAATATATCATATATGGTGTTTCTCATGCTCTATAGTTAGTATATGAGTTTTCGACCCGGATCCCTCCTATTACCAAAAACAATTTACGAGTAAGTAACAACTTATTTAATTAGGCTGGCATTCTTGAGAGACAAGTTAAATTTATATCTATAGTTTATAGTCTCAATATATAAACAAATTTTAGCTTTCTCTGTAATAAGGTGCGCAAAAAGATTTAGAACTATAGTTTATGTCATGTCCTCTGTTTGTTAGGCTCGATTCTGTACATTTTATCATATTAATTTACTACGTACATGCGTAATATAACCCAAGCGAATGAATGTATTGTCAGTAGCTAACAGTGAAGTCTTTCTTAACGAGTGTTTTCATTTGTTTGTTAAATAAAAATATTAAAATCAACTAAAGCCAGCTAACAGTATCCGGCGCGGCTCGAATAAGTCATAACTAAATGTTTCAATCCTGGAAATTTTCTTACTTTTGTGTTCTGATAAGAATCGAAGTATATTCAAGCCAATACACAAAATTACTCAACACAAGATGCAGATCTTTAATATAATATCTAAGAGGGAATAAAATATCAAACAATCATCATAACATAAATTGAAATTTTGTGTAATTAATTTAAGGAATAGTGACATTAAGTTTACATGCAAAATGGAATTGTTTGGGATATTTACTTAATTTGGTAATAAAGAAGCTTCTTCTCCCATGTCCCAATTGGCCCCAATAGTTCTCTTGTACTATCTCAAGTTTAAAATTTTTCGAAATTTTTTAATTGTAAATGATTCTTTTGGATTTTACTTTACAAAGTAATAGTTGCAGTTTTTGTAAATTGTACAACAATATCTAAAACGTCTAATGTTATCAAATTTCGTGCGTTTGTAAGACTAAGACCTAAACATAAGTTTCTAACAAACTAACATGGTTGAAAGGAAAACAAAATCTGAATTTAGGGCCTTTTTTTCCCTGTCACGCCTTGAATTAGTTTTCTACGTTACTCTCCTTATAAAACTAAGCCTAAAAACATATTCAGCTTTCTAATCATTACACTTTCCTTATTTCTCAATCATTGATAGTTAGATCTTCAACGAATGAAAATGCATTTACATTCAGAACGAACAATGCCAAGATACTTGCAAGACATTTTCAAGTTTTGTAGAAAATCTTTAACCGAATATCTAAAAATAATTATCATTGAAAAAAGTTCCTTTGGGATTGTGTTTCTTGGATGATTTAATAATTAATAGAGTTTTGCCCAAGTAGACACAAGCAAGAAAGGTGAATTGTTGAAAAACAAAGTGTCCACTTTCCTCATTTTTTTTTTCTTGTTGACTATTTTCTTTTTATATATCCTTTCACAGTTTCACCAACCACTTAAATTATTGCCTTTGATTTTTTAAAAATTTTCTTTATTCCCAATGATTACTTGATTCTTTTTTTTCTTTTGTACGTAAGGCCAATTAATTGCAAAAAAATTTCCTTATATGTGAATATATTTTTAAGTAATAAATGCTGATGATATGTTAGTTGATTGATGATGGAAACCAATTCACACTCGCTGATTAAATGCAAGAAAAATATGAAAATGAAGACAACAAGAACACTATTATCTTATGGAAAGTGCGAACTATAAAGGATATAAAATCTGTTCAATATTATCGATCGAAATCAAAATCTTCTTACAAACATAATATCATCGTTATCAACCTTAATGCTACTTAGAGTGTTAGATCTAGTATATTATACCATTAAACAAAATTTCATCCAATATCAACATAATTTTCGTACAATGTATTATATCAATAGTATTAATTTATACAAATATCATTCTAATGCCATCAAAATATAAAATATTAGAATGGAATAATTTAATCTATTTGATGCAACTAGAATGGTAGTATATATAAAATGTTGATGAAGTATTAGACCATACACAGGGGCACTTTTTACCCGGGTGTAAGGAATAAGAAAAACAAAAATAATAGAAAAACAAGGTTGGAGAGAGGCAACGGGTGTAAACTTGCAACTTTTTTCCAAGGGGTGTAAGTGACACGTGGCCAGCGCTGAATAGAGACAGGCAAAAACTCGGTCAGAGACAGGCAAAATTATCATCTCTCACTATTTCTCTCTTTCTTTACTTTATTATAATACTTTATTACTCATTCCGTTTCGATTTAGTTAACGTTTAAAGTTTTTTCACACAAATTAAGAAAGCATTAAATTTTCTGTTTTATCTTTTATTAATATATTTTATAAAAAATTTCATTGGCCAAAACATTAAAACAGTAGGGATAAAACTGGAATTTTTACCAAACATTTGCATTGAAAAAACGACAACTATTATGAAACAAAATTTAAATCCTAAAATGACAACTAAACTAAAACGGAGAGAGTATAATATTATAATACTGTTAACACCCAAGACACACATGTACTAGGCCTGGGCATTCGGTAAGAACCGATTAAACCGAACCGAAAGAACCGACTATTTCGGTTATCGGCGCTGACTGTGAGAGGAGGCTTGAACCGATCGGCAAAATTATTTTGAGAATTCGGTTACCGGTTCGGTTCGGTTCGGCATCACCTAACCGAACGGTTCTTCGGTTCTCTCCCACCATCACCTGTCTTTGAATAAGCTTCATGGAACTCCCAAGGAAACGAGGATGAGTTGGGGATGTTGAAGATCCGCCGCCATGGACATGCTCGAAGAAAGACGAAGGACTGAAAAAATAATAAACGAAACGCTAGGTTTAGATGCGTTTAATATATCTAGGCTACCTTGGGCTTATTTAATAGGAAATATGTTAAATGTAACATGGGTTAAACCTAAGCTACATGGAATCGGAAGCGGGTACGCGGAAGCGGAAGCGTTTGGAATCGGGGAAGCGAATTTTTTTTAAAAAATAGGAAGCGGGTACGTGTTGGAAGCGTATATATATATATATATATATATCA